AACCAGTGTTACAGCCACTCCAGCTCAGAATATGTCACTGATGCAGAAGAGTTAGTTCTTCCTCCAAGCCCTTCATCATCCCAGAGGTTTTTAGGACTGTGGTGGGGTTAGAGGTAAAGGAGGCAGAAAGTTCAGAGGCAGGCATGGAGGCCTGGGGAGGATGAGCCCCAGGGCATTTGAGCTGGGTGAAAAATTCTGAACTGGTGCCATTTAGGAACTGCAGGAGCATGTAGAACTCATCAAAGTGTGAGTGTGTCTTCTTCAAGATCCAGGCCTTGGACCTAAGGGTGCGATGCAAGCTCTCTGTGGGGGTGGAGGGCACATAGGCAGGCCTTCTCAGTCTTATCCTTCAGAGGGTCTTTGCTCATTTTTGGAGGTGCAGATTCCTTTCAAAAACAAACCCCTAGGGGCTAGGAAAGACAAGTTAGTTCATTCATTCATTCATTCATTCATTCATTCACTTATTCATTTTCTCCCCAAATATTTACTGAGTCCCTACTAGGTTACAGGCACTGTTCTAAACCCCAGTGATACAGTGGTGAGCATGGCACTGGTGTCTTCGCTTGGCTCACATTCTGGTGGGAGACAAGAATTAAACTAGTTAACAAACAGATGTGTAATGCAATTTCAAGTTATGGCAGGGTTACAAAGGAGATAAAGATGTTAGGGAGTGACTATTTAGATTGGGGACAGTGGCAATGATATCTGAACAGAGGCCTGAATAAGGTAAAAAGTGAGGCCTGCAGAGATCAGAGGGGCGTGTGGCCCAGGCAATCTTTGGGGCTTAGGGATGCCTTCATGGCTGTTGTGGGAGATAAACTCACTCACCCAAGCTCTATTTTGGAGTCTGAGCTAACTCATTGCTGAAGTATTGGGGAATTGGTTCCCTGCTGTGAGACTGTTTCTACTGTAAAATGATTATTTTAATAGTTACCTCTGTTTTATAAGAGCCACATGAGAATTGGTCAGTGTCTGGCTAGAAATAATTTTTAACATTTATCTTTATTGTTGAAAGTATTACAGATGTCCCCCCCCCCCCATTGACTCCTACCTCACACTCACCCTCCAATCCCAGGCCTTCACCACACTATTGTCTGTGTCCATGAATTATGCATATACCCTTATAAATTTTTGGTTAATCTCTCTCCACCCACCCTTGCCTTTCCTCAGAGATTCACCAGTCTGTTCCATACCTCTGTGTCACTGGATCTATTTTGTTCTTCAGTTAATTTTGGTTTTTTTTTTTTTGTTTTCTTTGACAATGCCTTTGTGCATAATTGACTCCACAGTTTGATATAATTCAATTGGGTTTTCCTTTTAAGGGGTGGTTTTTGTGGTCAGTCTTTCACATTTTCTCTGAATCCAGAAGGACCATTTGTACCTGTCTACTTTCCTGATTCTCCCTGGTAAATTTTCTGCCTGTGATTTCTCTGGAAAGTCTCTTGTAGGATGATCAGTCTCCTCTAAATTACTTATCATTAAAATCATCAGTGTTTTAAAAAAAA